AATATGAAGTGGAGGGCCCCCGAACAATCGAGTGTGCCCGAGCAGGTTAGCAGATGGGGGCCCCCATACAAGAGCGCAGGGCCTGCCGTTCAAATATGAAATACCCGCGACACGATGTAGAGGGCCCCCGAGTGATCGAGTGCGCCAGAGCAGGTTAACAGGGCCCCTGTCGAGAACGTTCGGTCCTCCATTCAAAAAGAAAGTGCTGAAGACCCGGTGCGAAGGGCCCCCGAAAAGTGGAATGTGCCCGATCAGCAGTGTAGCAGCAGCAGCACAGAGCAGAGGATGTATCAGATGGCCCCGGTAGGAGCGCAGGGCCTTAAATTAAAACGCCAAAGCCCATGTGCAGGGCCCCGAACAATCCACTAAAGCCGAGGAGGCGAACAGAGGGGTTCCCGACAAGTGCGAAGCCCCCTCCCCCCCCCCCTCATTCAAATAGTACGTATCCAAGGCCCAAGGTAGAGTGCCCCCGAATGATCGCATGTGCCCGACCAGGTTATCATACAGGCCCCCGAAAAGAGCGTTGGGCCCCCGCATCCAAATAAGAAGTATCCAGGACCCAGTGTTGAAGGCCCCCGAAAGATCGAGGGTACCCGAGCAGGTCATCATATGGCCCCCGACAAGAGTGTAGGGCCCTACATTAAAATACGCGATGTGCAGGGCCCCAAACAACCCAGTGTGCCCGAGCAGGTTAACAGATGGGGCCCCCACAAATGGCAGGGACCTCCATTTAAATATAAAGTGCTCGAGACCCCATTTGGAGGGCCCCGAACGGCCGGGTGCGCTCAAGCAGGTTAACAGATGGGCCCCCGACAAGAGCGTAGGGCCCTAAGCAAGTCACAGAGAATTGAAAGCGCGCTAGACCAATGCAGAGAGCCCATGAGCCTATCGGGATTGTGTCGGGAGGTTAATCGAAACCAACACAAAGAGCCTCTGATCCACCGAGAATACCCCGGCAGGTTAACATGTGGGCTCCGCATGAATATGCCATCTTTTTGCTGTATTTCTTAAGAAAACAACTGCGTCTTGGAGTACTACGTTTTGTGTGATATTGGCCTTTGACCTTGAGGGTAAGCTTTGCCTGTTTGAGAGAAGCAGACATTACGAGCATCAGTATAATGCATATTGCACTGTTTCTTGATTGAACGAGAAATGCTAAGTTAGGGCTTTCTGCGCGACTTTTCCTTGGATCTTTATTTTTTCTTGATGTTAGAAAAGACGATGCTACGAGCAAACCCTTTGAAACTCAGACTTGCCTAAATGACATCTGTTGCCACCCGGACAATCAGGCTTAGAGATGAAAAAAAATAAAGAAGAACGTTTGCGTACAAAAGGTTTGCACGCCAAAAAATTTGGTTTGCAAAATTAGGTGTAAACTGTGTGAAAACATGGGAGGGACATAGTCTACGTCCGGGAGCCCGTGCGCCCTACTCCGTTAACATGTAATGAATACCTTCGAGACGCTAAAAACAGAACAGGGAATATCCCTTTTGTTGACCATTCTTTGGGAAAGCACGCTCAGGCTGAAATCCAGGGAGGTATAGACACTGTGCCCCTTTAAGAGCTCACAGTCATCTACAGAGCACAGGATCACCCAGACAGGAAAATAAATGAATCTGTTCTTGTAAGAAGTTTTACTTAGATATGCACTGTATCGTAGTAATGGCTGACAATTGTTCCCTGTGTTATCCACTGAATGTTAGCGTCCTATAAAAACTGTGGCTCGCTGTCTCAAAAAAGGAAAAACCGAGCAAGATCATCGGTAAGCAACTTTGAATCACTGCTGCCATTGTTTGATAAAGGCATGTTGCCGAAATATCAATGCATCTATATATCTCCATTCTTCTGGTTGTTTTCCGAGGGATGAGGCCATTACTACTGTCTTATTTATGTGAATAATGTTCTCCGCACATGCATTTAACAGCTTACGTGACTTGGAGAAAAGAGAATTTCAAATTTGTAAATAATTGACATAGTAATACTGCTCCCGGAAATCTGAAATCGACGCTGGGTTCGAATACAAATACGACGCTAACTTCACGAACATTGTTCAGGATTGGGGAGAATTTGTTCACGACTATATTTGGCAAGATTCGAAAGCTTCTTCTGCCATCAGATGTCTGAAGGATGTCCATATTTTTCTTCAGTTTTGTCACTGAAATGTCCTAAAGTGTTTGTTTCGAATGTGGTCCACAGTCTCGTAAGTGCATTGTCAGACGTTATTATGTTGTAGCTACGTCAATGCAGTACATGAAACGAAGTTTGCAGCCTTCAAGATTGCATTTGCATTGATGCATTACATTGGTTCAACTTAGTGTACCGGATTTGTCAGGGCTGTTTCTTAGAAGAAGTTGGAAATTTTTACGTTGCAATAATAACTGACATGTCTGTACTGCGGTCGTTCTTACCTTTTACGTGTCGAGAGCTGATTTACCGTCTTGCTTTTACGAAGACGTTGCTTGATGTTGGTAATGCAGTGGGATAGTTTGCCTTGTCTTTTTTTTTGTTAAAGTGTAATGCCTTATGTTGTCGCATTTCGTTTTCAACGTATAATTTGAGGAGCTGTCATTCACCAAGATCTGTCTGGTTCGTACTAATTCTGAATGCAATCGTGTCGAATCGGCATAATGCTAAAATACACGTCTAAGGAATGGTTCTACGACGTTAATTATGTCACGTCAAGGACATTCACTGTCAGCATTTAAGCATCCTGTCATTGTTAATCAACAGTCATTTCGAGAAAGGAAGAACATAATTCACATTAAGCCACCACAGGTCACTTTCTTGGTGTGACCCACACAAAATGAGTGTAATGTACAAGGAAGATGTCGAAAATATATTGATATTTTCGTGGGTCTACGTTTTTTTTCATCTGTCGTTCCCGAAAGAAATGGGGAGTAGTCTCTCGCGAGCTCCTCGACAAAGCGTTAACTAACATAAGTGACCACCGTTGCCTGCATGGCGGCGGTAGTCACTGGCAACCTTGGTTGCGTGTCATCACAGCTGGGCAGTGATCAGAGGCCGCTGTCTCTGTGGTGCAACCCTGGTTCCGTGTCACCTGGGCAGTGATCAGAAGCTGCTGTCCTTGTGGTGCGATCCTGGCTTCGTATTGTCTGGGCAGTGATCAGAAGCTGCTGTCCTTGTGGTGCGACCCTGGTTTCGTGTTGCCTGAGCAGTGATCAGCAACCGCTGTCTATGTGGTACGACCTTGGTTCAGGCCACCTGGGCGGTGATCAGTAGTCGCTGTCTCTGTGGTACGACCTTGGTTCAGGCCACCTGGGCGGGGATCAATAGCCGCTGTCTCTGTGGTACGACCTTGGTTCAGGCCACCTGGGCGGTGATCAATAGCCGCTGTCTCTGTGGTGCGACCTTGGTTCAGGCCACCTGGGCGGTGATCAATAACCGCCGTCTGTGTGGTGCGACCCTGTTTTATACCACCTGGGCCATAGTCAGAGCCCGCCGCCTGTATAGCACGGCCCTGTTTCCACGTCAGAGCAGCTGGACAGCGTTCACGTGAGCACAACGGGGCACTGGTCAGTGATCGGTGGCGTCGGTCCGGTCACTGATCACTGTCCAGTCGATCACTGCCCAGCCGATTAGGCGTCGATCCGTCAGTCGATGGTACCTGAAACATCCACACACGCACTGGAAGGCCTCCAAGAGCCCATCGCCACGAGAAGCGGCAGGTCAGTCCACTGTACAAGCTCAGGAACCGTGTAAGAGACAAAAGAATTGTGGGGAGGCTGAATACCGCAAGAAACTCTGTTGTGCGCAAGTTTGGGCATCCTGGGTTGTCGCTGTGAAAGTCATACAAGGTCCACCGTGCTCAAATTGGCAAACCTTCCAAACGTTTGGGCTTTTGACCGAAGTACTTCGCTCACTTCATGTGATAGAATGCAATCAGACCATACCAAAATAGCTGAAACTTTTTATGCTCAAAGAAACCAGAAGATGTTTGATACCTGACCCTGGGTCTCGACGCATTATCAATTAAGTGTCTTCTTTGCAGCGCGGTCTGCACTAACGTTCATAAGGTTGAAGATTTTGAAAGATCTTAGGCTAGGACGAGGGATAGAAAACAGCATCTGCATTACCTGAGCGCCTCCGACTTGAGATCAGCCGTCACTTCGATTTCTCAGCTCAGCTCAGCCTAGGCGCAGACGCACAGCTCAAAAACATCGCTGCGCTTAAGAAATGGAGTTCAGCCCTCCACGCCGCTTCACAGCCCTCCACGCTGCTTCATTTGCGCCACGGTATTAAATGCGTCCAAGTTCCTGGAGGTCTAAAAGCAACGGAGCGTGGCTTTTTTCAAAGACGCCCTGTGACCAGTTGTACGGTGCTGGTTGAGCAGCGGGCGCCCCGCACGATCATGTCGGCTGTCACCAGTCCCTCGCGCGCTCAAGGCTCGAGCGTGCGGTCAGCAGTTTTAATGTTCCTGATCAGCTCCCAACTTTTACTCCAACGGCGAGTTCATCACAACCGAATCAGTACCACAGTGAAGTGGTGAAGAAACAGTGGCGCGATGTAGCTGCGGTGAAGAGAAAGCGGTCCGATGTAGCTGCGGTGACGAGAGGTCGGCCCGATGTGGCTGCGGTGAAGAGACAGCGGTCCGCTACAGCTGCGGTGAAGAGACAGCGGGCCGATGTGGCTGCGGTAAAGACACAGCGATCCGCTAAAGCTGCGGTGAAGAGACAGCGGCCCGATGTGGCTGCGGTGAAGAGACAGCGGTCCGCTACAGCTGCGGTGAAGAGACAGCGGGCCGATGTGGCTGCGGTAAAGAGACAGCGATCCGCTAAAGCTGCGGCGAAGAGACAGCGGCCCGATGTGGCTGCGGTGAAGAGACAGCGGTCCGCTACAGCTGCGGTGAAGAGACAGCGGGCCGATGTGGCTGCGGTAAAGAGACAGCGATCCGCTACAGCTGCGGTGAAGAGACAGCGGCCCGATGTGGCTGCGGTGAAGAGACAGCGGTCCGATGTGGCTGCGGTGAAGAGAAGCGCTGCCCTGGGCCTGTCCGTATATTTCGGATAACGGCGCGGGAGTGTCCACAACCCAGCTACAGGTACGGCATGAGATACAGGACGTAATCTGGAGAAAACACCATCCACAAAAGGCGCTGAACAGGCGTGGCCAAAAACAGAACCTCCTGAACACCCCGCTAATGACATTGGAACGGAAAGAACGGAACGCAACGGAAAGAGGCAGCCAGCTACACACCGTGTTCGTTATAACTTGCTGGACGTAGCAGTGAAGTATGGCCGTGTAGTGGTTGGAGTGACGCACAAAAAGGCCGTTCAGCAGGCAGGCCAGTCACACAGACTTACATCTTGTGACATAGGCCAATGTCACAAAACACGAGGCAGCTTGCTCTTAGCAGGAGCAGCCTGCACATAACGACCGGAGTAAGTTGATGCTTCCATTCATACATTCCAATAGGGCAAAGAGAAGGCTCATAAACTTGTTTATCTACAATCAGCAACACGACAACAGAAATTATACAGCACCGTCCTCTCGTGAAAAATCTTCTTTCTCGTCCATCTAACAATTCACGAGGCACGAATTTCAGGGCACCAGGACCACAATATGCGTTTGAATGAAGTGTTCCAAGAGTAACTGTTGCGATCATGGAAGATCATTGAACGAGCAGAAGATAAACGAAGCATGCGAGTGTCGACAAGTGGATTAAAAGGCAACATCAGCTTTAAAGGGAATGTTTCACTTCCAAGTGCATGCCAAAGCTCGGTCAAACTGGCCAAGAAAGCGTCACTGAAAATATTTTTGAAAAGGCCTATTTAACAATTACAAACACAAGCATCAGTCACAGGTACCCAATGATATGGTTGGCTTAGTATATATTGTACGGTCTCGTTTATCATCTGTCCGGGTGGTTCTGAACACTCAGGTGGCTTTGGTTTCCATTTAGAAAAAAATTGTCACCAACTTCCGATGTGTATGTCGGTGACCATGAATTGACATTCCGAAATGCAGAGGCAAATCTTAAAAAATGCTTGACAGGTCTAGGCTTGAGGCACTGCCACATTGCTTCGTATGTCCACACCAGATTTTGTCATGCTTGCTGCCTGCTGTTAGTTCAAGTACTGCAGTTCAAATGAAAATAGACCTCAAACCTTTGGTTTCGCAAGTATACATTTTGGAAACTAAACTACGTCAGACTAAACCACCTGGAGCAGCAAGATGTTGATACTAGGCCAGCCCTTTATAAATGTGTGAAACATTCCCTTTAACCGCGTTGAGATGATGTTCTTCAGGGTAAAACCTTTACATGAACAGCTTTTCCCGTCTGGGGCTCACAGTTCGGCGTGAATTGTTAAAGTAGCACCGTTCCAAGTACACACTATGAGCATTTGTTTGTCCTCATGACTGATAGCTACGCTACAAATTTATTTCATAAAAAGGCCACTGTTCGCATAACCATGCGACATTCTGTAACAATTCTGTTCAACGCTGAGGCTGCCACACCGATTGAAGAGTTTATCTCCTCGCTATGTTGTAGAAGCATATTTCAAAGTCTACAGGGAACATGAAGAATTAAGGCCGGATTTGATGGAATGTTCCGGAAAGCAATTATCAACAAGAACTTCCTACGCTCACACAAATAATGGCGGGCTATTTTTTCTTGCCAAATTGCGCCCGGAAAGAAGCCTGAATCTTACTGGCAGCCTTCATGACCTCGGGGTCATTTAAATCAATGTCGATTTCCTCTTCCTTAGGGGTCTGAAAAAGGGCATGGCCACCTCGTCACCACGTGATCATCAAAGCACTGCATGAAAACGCATCGTTTGTTGTATACTGTGGTCCCTTGGGGTCTTAAAGCAGACAGCAGAAAGGATAGGGGGCCACCTGGTGCTAGTCCTGCCACACCGGACGGACAATTGAAAGGGCAGGGGACCACCTAGCACAAGTCCTGCGACACCAGACGGACAATTGAAAGGATAGGGGGCCACCTGGCACTAGTCCTGCCATACCAGACGGAACATTGAAAGCAAACATCACATTTAAGAACGGGTCAGTCAGCAGTGAGTGGCGACGTCTACATTCCCGATATGACATCAATAAAATGACGTGACAATGCCAAATACGCTTACCGCCTATTGTCACTACGCCGCTCTCAGCGACATGCGTATGGCGATCTGCATGGTGCACAGGTCAGAACAAGGGAACATGCCTGCCACTGTGTGCATGCTGAACTGATCACGACGTGGGGAAACGACGTGACATTTAGCTTTCGGAATTTCGAGGACAAAAGGTAGCTTCTGAACAGAAATGCCCGTAGAGTCCGTTGAGATTACCAAACCTGCACAAATTACGATATTGTTACGACAATGGAGCACCATGATGTTTATGACAGGAATTGTTCGCCTGCCAGTGACTGGGTGTTCAGCGCCTTCCTTTTACTTCCTACGAATTACTTCCGGAACGAGTGGTATTAAGAATCGGACATTTTTACCACCTTTCGACACCTGTTAGTCACTTACAACCCAGTGGCTACCTTTTAGTAGTAGCTTCAAATAGCTTCATTTTCAAGTAGCCTCCTTTCTAGTAGGGTGTAGCTTCCTTTTCAGCTAGGGGAAGGATGCTCCCGTCCTTTTCCCCAAACTTGGTGTTCTTCCAAAGCTTTGATAAAAACATGAACCAAGTACGGTGAAAACCTCGTTTTTTGGCAAATTCCAGGATAGGTTGCAGTATTTTGCATTGCTCGGACCCTCTCTTTCCCACCCACTGACAGGAAAACATTAAACGCTTATCCCACGACGAAGTTGTTGGACTATTCCATTTTTACCGTTTTGACGGCTTGTGACTGGCTGCCACTGTCTGGTCGGGCGTTGGCGACCATATTTAAAGGCACGGTGCTCGCCCGAATATTGTCTGTTAGTAAGCAATGTAGAGGGTTGCAGCCAATCCTCATGATTCCTATTACTAGAACGTCATGTCTTCATGTTAGTGTGAGGCTGCGAAGGTTTTGTGTTAGAGGAAATGTCTCACATTTGAAGATATTGAGGCAAGCACCAGTTGCGGTTAACTGACCGTCGTTTTATCTGGAAATCGCGCTCAGAAACGCCAGACATGAACGGCACGACCATTGCATTTTTCTTGGTCCTCATCGCCGCGTGCCTTGTGGATTGGCAGGATTTCAATGACGTTGTTACGACGTCATGAATGCCAAGGTTACCTTGAAATACTTTCACATCTTTGCGGTCTTTAATCTTAGGAACCAGAGGATTCTAGGCTTAAAAAGGCATAGCCGTGAGTTGCACTAAAAGGTCTTCAACGCGGCTATTTGAGTTATTTACAAAGGTGCAATGTGTAACACTCCCTTAACGAACTCCCTTAACACTCCACATACAGATTTGAAACACTCCTTTAAAACTGACCTCGTAGGAGACCCATACTGCCTGCCTGAGCTTCCATTGCCTGCTTTTCAGTTCGTAGCATAACAGCGGAAGACAAAGGAAGGCACTATCGTATGTCTGTTGTCCGTAATTTGTTGGAGTTCAAAACGTCTTTTGGCATCGGCATTTTGCGCTAGTTACCTGGAAAGTAAACTCACAATTTTGGGCAGGGTCTTCGTAGTAAGGTGAATATTTTGGGTGTCATTTTGAAAATGGGTGTTATGTTGTGTCAAATGTCTCAGTTGGGTGCCGTGCTATACTGAACATGGGCTACTTTTTCTACCCCACATGGAATAGCAATGTGAGAGTACAAGCTGAGGACGAAAAAAGTTTGATGGTGTGGCTGAAAGAGTTTTGAAAGAGAAAGAGCCAAGCCGCGGTTTTCCATCTCTTGATCTTGCAAGGTAGTAAGACCATTAATATCGTATAGTAACGATGAAGTATGAATTTATGGAACGATAAAAATTGCGGCATTCCTTACCCATTAAAACGACAGCCTTCTTTCTCATCGGTCGATCTTTTCCCGACAGCCACTCTCCCTTTGTTCTATAATTTTTTTTCAGCATGGTCTCAACGTTGTCGATACATTCCACGTTGAAACGTATTAATGCAAACGCCAGGCAAGGTAAGCGCCTTTTTAAGATCTGATAACACATGCGTTTTTGCAGGGCGTCTCATGTGCGTGGGTCGTTTTTGCAGGGCGTCTCATGTGCGTGGGTCGTTTTTGCAGGGCGTCTCATGTGCGTGGGTTGTTTTTGCAAGGCGTCTCATGTGCGTGGGTCGTTTTTGCAGGGCGTCTCATGTGCGTGGGTCGTTTTTGCAGGGCGTCTCATGTGCGTGGGTCGTTTTTGCAGGGCGTCTCATGTGCGTCGGTCGTTTTTGCAGGGCGTCTCATGTGCGTGGGTAGCCCGGACTTTAAACTTTTAAGCCATCAGCATGACCTACGTCATACTTGTGTTTAATGCGTCATATATTTCGACAACTATCGACCCTGCACACAGGATTTTCTTTTTGGGACAGGAAACCAAAGAACTTCGGCTGCATTTCGTAATGCTTTGCTTATGGCTTATTTTCCTTATATTTGTAGTCGATTGACGGTGGCATATTAATGGCAGCCTTCTTGCATGCCTGCATATTCAAGGCTGCTATTCAGACACTACGGCCTTACGCATGGAGAACACTGCAGTGAGCAAGCTCTCTTGCATCCCCATTAGAGCATCCTTGAGTATGTGCGATACGTCATATATTTTTGAACGGGTTTTGAGTAAGTATCGCGTTTGGAATGTCGGTAGCCCATACCAACAGAGTAGTAGCAGCAGATTAGTAGCTGCAGAGACATATTACTAGCACGGCGTTCAGGCACAATCAGCTAAAAACCCCATCACATAAAAGGCAATATTTTCGTTGCCGTCTATAGGGCTGAGTGCAAAACTGCTTATAAGATCACGGTGGTGACTTGTCCCAAAAATGAATGAATTGAGAAATATTTTAGTGGGCCCATTCCCTTTATGTTCGCTGTCAGCAAAACAAGCTGCTAGTCCGTAATCCCCCCCCCCCCCATAATTTTCAGCAATAAATAAGTGATCGACCAGGAGCCTTGTAGTTGTAGCCAATACTTGCTTCAAACCAGATGCGTACAACAGAAAACGTCAGATTTAATAGGCCGCATGATCGGTATAGGTAGTTAGGAAGATGGTAGATTTGGTTATTTGTAAAGGGAAGGTCATGCTGTTAGTTTATTCAGGTCTCCGATCAGGTCAGGTCTCCGCACGACAGACGTTCTGAAATGCTAACAGATCATGCACGTCGGACAGTATGCTGCATATATTGGCAATACGAGGAGTACAAGGAGGAAGTCCTGGAATCAGTAAGTCTAGTAAGTGTATAAAAAGTAAATCCTTTCCTGCCTTCTATCAGTGAAGGAATGTCTTGTAAAGCCGCATAGACTGCTTAAGGCAGATTTGGGTTACGATATTATTAACACTGCGCTTTTCTAGCACAGTTATTCACTTAACTGGTGTCATAAACGTGACTGGTCTGCCACGAGGTGGTGGAACTCGGACTTCACTGGGTTTCTACAGCAGTTCGGATATACACTGCACATTTCCAACTTATATTTTAAACTACAGGACCATGCAACAATTGAGAACACCTAGTTCGACACGTAAGGCAACAATATGAGAGTTACGTTCATATGTCGAAAACTCGAGCAGCCGGCCGTTGTTGCCTCGACTTAAGTCAACGTAGATCGCGTATGAATCGTCCAAAAGCTCTCAAACGGTGCCGGTTGGGGCGAGTGAGACGCGCCGTAAATGAGTGATGCAAATGTAAGAAAGGCACGTGCATTATCCAGACAACTAATCAACAAATTTACAATTTTGGCGCCATTTGCTTCAAACATCCTTACCCTTCTGATGGGTACAGACAACGAGCAAAACACAAATGATGGGGTCACTGCGTGCGTCTATTTACTATGACTAGGTAACGCGCGGACACTGGACAGTCACGAGCTGCACTAAGGTCTATACTAATATAAAACAAATACATTTCCAACAGTAACGTATCGCAGTCGCCATGCAACACTACGCAAAACTGTAGTCATAGTGTTCAATCCCTCACATCTGTATGCAGCTTCTCCATCTGCTCATTGAGCTCCTGCTCCCGCTTCTGAATGACGTCATCCTTTCGTACTCTGTGGCCGCGAAAGGTGGCCTGTATTTTCGTTGCGGCCGCGCTCAGTTCTGAGGGCGGGACCATACGTTAGCATGCGGTCCATGCATGCAGAGGTAGGATTATAGCAATATCCGTAAAAATTGCTTGCTCTGTTCATTTCCCGCTCGCCCTGCTGCACAGTTCCATTTGGCATTCCATTTGGATTCGAACTGGCATTGGAATCAAATGGGCAACATGTTATGTCATTGGTAATTTCATCGCTACGTGTATCTTGATGACATGCCAACAATTTTACACAGGTACAGCAGTGCCCTAATTATTTCGGCTTCTTAAAATAGCAAGGGCGTATTGTCGCTCGCACCTTTATTGGTAACAATAATTGTGTTTTACAGGTCATTCTATTCTAATTAGTTACTGGTCTAGTATCGCCATTTGGTATCAGCCCAGTGCTCTCTTATCTTATTGTCATAATTTAAGGTGCCACATGATAGCTGGTTTCCCTGGAAGAGTCTTCCCAGTCATGCCAATATTTCATCAGTGGCTACCGAGCAAACAATGTGTGCCATAGGGCGCGTCTCAGGACCCCACGGCGGATGATCCAACCGAGAGCAAACAGAGTGGCGCGCCTCTTGATAACACGCCAGGGCCCAGCAGCGACAGTGCCGGCCAGGGTGGCCTCAGCGGTGGCGGCAGGCGGCGCTGTGCGCTGCTGACCGTTATCACCGCACTGCGCCGCGCCGCCGAACGCCGTATTGACTCCACGCCGGACCATGCGACCAGCCTCCGGACCAGGAGATGGTTGGACTTCATTGGCAAGCGATGACCAACGATAACGAAAATTGTAGTACCAGGGGCAATGAGGTTACTGTAGCACCAGGGGCAATGAGGGCAGGTTTTCCCAATGAGGGAGGGGGACGTGAGCACAACTCAAATTGTTTTACCGAAAACGGACAGACTCGCAGAAATTCTTGCGTGTCGTAAAACAGCCTCACATGTTTTCGATCTTCTAGTTGTCACGTCTCTGCCTGTGCTTTTTGACTGCTGACATTTAGACACTCCCATATTAATGCATGCTGCGAATTCTGTAAGTGGGCACGGGTGCGTGCATTCGGAGTTACTTTGTGTCCACCACCCGGTACAGTATGCCATGATAAAACATTTTTAAAACAAATACGTGCCTGGTGCCGGCGGGACCACACAGGAAAGTCAGCAATCTCATGACCAAATATCCGCGCGACTGTGAAAGACGCAGCAAATTTACATAACTCGCAAAGTTATCGGGAAGTGCGCGTGCAGCTTTGCGTATTACCACCAGGGGAGAAACGCGACTTGAACGGAGAGCCTAAAATAGCTCACCGGGGTCGCTGAGGTCGATATCTTGGTCGAGAGACGCCATTTTCTGGCTGGCCTGCTGCCTCCGCGCCTGGTGTCCTCTGAACGTTGCCTGGATTTTGGTGGCGGCGGCACTCAGCTCCGGGTCGTCCACCAGCTCTACTGGGAAACGCTGGGCATAAGCGGATGCCTCGGCCTCTGGTGGCCGGTCTCCGCCCGGCTGAACAGCACACGGGCGTGCACTGGCATGTCAAGGACGAGGGGAAACAGCCGCAGACGTCAGATTAACACGGAGCATCAGGGACGAGGGAAGACAACCGCAGACAATAAAGGGAATACAGAACACCAGGGATGATTAATACAGAACACAGAGCGTCACACGACCGCTGGCCCACACGGGACACCAGGGGCGGGGAAACAGAGCGGCAGGCAATGACAGGTTTACACGGGACGCTGTCGTGTTGGTTAAAAGGATTCAGACGACCACAGGTCTGCGCAGGACGCCAGAGACAAAGCAAATACAGAATAACCTGAACGAGCAGTCTTAGAATACGGTCGTAGATGAGAGTGCTAGAAAACGATAAGTCAACAAGGCAGACCAGGGGCGATGTGGACACTGCCCCAGATGACTGTAATCGGGGGGAGTACTATAGTTTTTGTTTTTTTTGGACGGCGCCTATTTCTTGAAAAATACGCGGTCTAGGATGTGACTGTAGGGTTTCTCTGGGAATGCTGTAAAAAGCAGTTAGGTTGAATACTGCGTTATGAGAAGGTGCTTCATGCTTTGCCACTGCATTACACACATGGTACATAGTCATTAGGCGCACCTCTATGTTCAGATGTCGAATTTATGCAGACTAAGTAACAACATATTGTCTGTGGACGCTGTAGTCGCGATAACCCGAAAGTTTTTTGCAAATTTTTTCATGTGTTTTGCGTAATACGTCCCCTAAGCCAGTCTTTTCACATGGGAGGAAATTTTGTCTGTGCTGCTTGACTGCTGTAAGCATTCTTTGTTTACTGAATACTTCATGAGGTGCGTGTTGTTTCCAAATTCGCTGACGTCACTATTTCTAGATGAGTATAACAAAAGCATCACCCGTATTTGCACATCACAGGTCTGTTGTTTATAATCGGCGGTCCTTTATTTCATCACTCAACTAACGGACTAGCGAACTGCGACCACTGCTCATGCCCGTATTCTGCGAACTGCACCAGTGACCACGCACTTATCCGTAAGTTGTTGCGAAATATTGTACCCATTGTGGAGATTCATGCGTTTGTTTCGGGTACCCGCGAGATAATGCAGACCTCTACCCGGCGTCCCAGCTTTGAGAGCGTATGTCTGGCGGCGGAGGGCAACTTCGTCGTGTCATACTGATTTCAGTGTTTCTCAGTGATGTTAGATAATCCAGAGACGTCGTCAGCTGCGCTGCGTCCAGTAATTCTGCAATACTGTGTGGTCTGCATTGTGATTAGTTCCGAGCGAGACCGCCTACAGAATGAGCTCTTCTTGAGCCGGGATAGAAATCCGCCTGGGCGGCCCGGTCCAGGCGCTCTTAGCAAGGTAATGTCTGCAGCCGATAATCGCAACGGCACACAGCTTGCGGTGGCAAACACATCATGGATCACTCAGAGATGCCGTCCCCTGATCCGGGAGGGAGATACTTCCCTCCTTATTCGGTAGCAGTGGGTGCGGACTACGAATCCCAGAGCGGACGCGTGTCCGGCTGGCACGAAAAAGCCCGCTGGCCGCTGGCTGGTGACGGTCAACTCCACAGTGGGCGGGCAGGTCTTACCAGTTGCGGGACGTAAGCTCACCGCGATCATGTCTGACGTCAGGGAGACGGAGAAATTATCCGTAGAACTGGATACCACAACTGGCGTGTTGGGTTTAGCAGGCATGTAAAACGTTTTTTTCTGAACTCACAGTCACCATATGCAATAAAACTGTGAAACGTAAAAGGAAGGCGATTCTTATCAATTGCGTTGCATGGATTTGCTACCATCTGATAACAAGCTGAACCGCAAGACGTGAGTTGTTTTCTGCAGCATACCAGTCTCGCGAAATTCTCACTTATCTCATTTGAAGCCAACTGCATGGTGAAGATGAATGTGATGCCTACAAATCACGAAGCGATCTAGTCGCTGTCCGACCCATGCCTGCGTCCGTGTGTAGCCAGGGAACAACCAATAGCACTTTTCCGAACCCGGCCTTGCATATAACATTCTGTGGTCAGAATCGAGAGTGATTCGACCATGAAAACTACGAAGGCAGAAGGCCCACTTTATTTGAACCAATGGCGACCAAAATAGCTGCGATTTTATACCAGTGTGGCTGCAGTCATCAGCAATGTGAAACGTTCCAAATTCTGATTTCATCGATTAAAATAGCCAATCCTCGCAAGCACCATGGACAGTCAATATCCAGGCCATGCTATTTCTAAGCATGTGCGCAGACTTCAAACATCAGTGCACCGCTGCCTGTCGCACCCATGAAAGAAGTCTATCACAGTGCAGAAATAAACCTTTTGTACATGGCTTCCCGGGAGCCACCTGCTTTATTCGAGTAAGTTTTTGTGTGGTGTGCATGACGAGAACGCACACTTGTGATGCCACCTTCTTTGCCCCACATCACAATGGCGTCCCATTTGATAGTTAAAAGGTTGGTGTCGTTAACATATATTTAAAGCATTTGGGCACTTGAAATTTTCCAGTGCCAGCACGAGCTTTACGCCATATCTTCTCCGAGGGGGACCTCATTCCTGTTGCTGGCTACCAGTTGGCATTACCATTCTGTACTTTCCGCTCGTCGACTCTGGGTATTTTGAAGTAATCACCAGCTAGGCATAAATCTTGGCTGGGCAACACGAGACCATGGTGGCCATCGCCCAAACAATTCCATGGAATTTTGATATCTACCCACAGTCATGCACGTAACTTCAAAACGTGATTTGACACATCTACTGTTTGTAAGACTGTCACTCACCCTTGCTTGGGACCGCCTATCACGCTTTTGCTACCGTCTCGACATGCTTCGGGTTTGCCGCTGCTGCGCAGCATCTAGCCTTGAGGTGAGGCGAGCCGGCGTGGGGGAGGTCAGGTGATTCGAAACCGACCCGTGCCACCCGGAGTCGTCGCCCGGCCGACCCCGCACGCAGCCCAGTCCGTCACCCTCCCCTTCCCCTCCCCTCCCGTTCCTCAGAAATGACCCCGACGAGACGGCCCGGAAACCGCGCCGAAGCACGGGTGGCAGGTCGGGGAATTTTCCCGTCGAAGACATGCTGCACTCAGGAAGGCAAACCAGCCTGCGCTTTTACTGAGAAACGGGAGAACGAATGTGAATTGTACCGTAGCAACCGCGAGATTTGCGAAGTTTTATGTTTCCAACAGATACGAATTGAGATGTGGGAAAGCAGGACATTGGAAATGGCAAGACACCACGCACGGCTGCAAAATTTTCGCGCGTTTTTCACGGCCATTCCACGGTTATCGTAAACATGTTGACCGCGTATAGGTCGCTGGGCGCCACGGTCCCGGACGACCTCCACAGAAGTCAACTGCAGTAAGAGGGCAGTCACCGCCGGCGAAACCCGCTAGCGGCGCTGCTCGGAGGCGGCAGCTCCTGGCTGTTCAGCTCTCCGGAACGAAGGCCGGGGAGACTGCAACGAGGACCAAGTTCTCCGGATGAGCTTGGGAGACTGGATCAAGGACTCAGGTATGTGCAGGAACTCGAGAGACCGGGGCGAGTACTCAGATCTCTGGAGGAGCTCGGGAGACTGAAACAAGTACTCGGATCTACGGAGGAGCTCGGGAGACTGAAACAAGTACTTGGATCTACGGAGGAGCTCGGGAAACTGAAACAAATACTCGGATCTCCGGAGGAGCTTGGGAGACTGAAACAAATATTCGGATCTACGGAGGAGCTCGGGAGACTGGAACAAGTACTCGGATCTCCAGAGGAGCGCAAGAGACTGGAACAAGTACTCAGATCCCCGGGGACCTCGGGAGACTGGGGCAAGGACTTAGATCTCTGCAGGAACTCGAGAGTGGGACAAGTGCTTAGATCTCTGGGTGAGCTCGGGAGACTGAGACAAGTGCTCAGATCTCCGGAGGACCTCGGAAGACTCAGGACTCAGATCTCAGGTCTCAGCTCGGTTGTTCGGGGCTGTGGTCAACGAGCCCGCAGTTTGGGCCTATCGTTTCCAACCTTAGCAGCCGTCCTTTGTGGTCGCGCTGCCAATTTCCAGTCGGGAAGCAAACGTAGAAAACTGTCCCAAGACCTCCGAAGCCAGCCTTCGCCTTCGATCTCCGGAACCAGGGCTCAGCCTGAGAGCCTCAGCCTCAAGCCGGCCAGCCTCAGCCCAATATCCCGGTCTGTAGCAGTGGCACGCTGGCCCAGCCGGGGAACTCCACCCAGGCTGCGCCACGAAACAGCTTGACGTTTGGTTCCCGCCGCGGCTACCACGTGAGCGCTTGCGAGGCAAACGAAGCATTGCTCTCATTGGGTAAGTGCAAGAGAACGATCGGAGTAGACAAATGATGCGGTGTGGAGGAAACAATTGCAGTGATGAGCGCATTGCCAGCAGCACAGTCAGTACAACTGCAAAAATCTCCTCAGCAAACGTGTCTGAATTATTCGAGAATGAGTAGCATTTACGATTTTGTGGTGCTTGCATGCAAATGGCAACATAATTGCATTACAAAGGAACAGATGGCTGAGACAGCAGCCTGTAACCAAAACCTGCAACCTTCCTGAGAGAATTTCAGCTATGATACCTGAACCAAATCCTACCAACTGGCTGCTTCACTAGCTTCAAGCATTCAGCACATTGATGGGGACGGTACCGTTCATTGTATTCAAACCCCAGACATGGTCAAGGATGGGAAGGATGAGCTAACAAAGGATGGCCCTTTGTTAACATATATCGTCAGCGCTGACTTGGGTCTACTCACGAGCTAAGCTCTCTTGTGGGAATCACTGCACAAGGACGCCTCACAACTTAGGACAAGGAATGCGACAAATGATCCGTCGAAATTGCAGCTTGTGCCCTTGCCACTGAAAGCTGGCATGTCCTACACCGTTTAGTGTTGCTAATTGAGCAGGTTTCATTTGCAATTCACTTTGTGGAGGAGCCCGAATGCCACGAGGTAGCCATCTG